ATTTTTGCAATTGATGGGGGAGGGGACTCAAGGCCTCTTAGACCCGAGTAAGTCACTGGATATGCGCTCAGTGACCTGGATAGTCACTTCACCTCGTAAGTGCCTCCCTACAATGCTTAGCACCAAGTTCAGGGGCTGCTTTGGCTAGTACATTGGCACTGGGCCTGTGTATAGCTCAGGGAGCTACCCTGCCTTAGTGGGACTGCAAACTGGGAAGTTGTGAGCCAGCAGTCTGTTTGGGGAACTTGGGGAGAAAAGGGGATGTGTTTAGAGGAAAGGCCAGCTCAGAGGCAGCAGGGCCTTGTCATCTGCTCGTGACTATCACCTCAGAGCAGGCTTCCCCTTACTCCCAAGAACACCAATTGTGGGGGCAGCAGGGCCAAGGTGACCTTTGGCATTGCTCACCTTGGGGAAGGTATGTAGGTATCAGGGAGGTTGTGGCCTCTGGTGACCAGGAAGAGGGTCTGATGGGCCCATGGAACCATACAGGAAGGCTGGGCCAACCCTGCTGGGCTGATGGAACCCACAGGAAGAATGAAGCTGGTGGACCAGGCCCTCATCTGGCTGGAGGAATCCAGAGACCTTGGACTGGCAGGGGACAGTTCCACCCTGGACACTGGATGCACGACAGGAGGCAGCTAGGGAGAGCAGACTCTTTTATTGGGCAGCAGGGCCTGGGGCTGAGCTGGGCGGGCGGGCACGTCACCGGTAGAGGTAGTCGGCCTGGATGTTGGCGGCGATCTCAGCCTCCCACTTGTCCCCATTGTTGAGCAGCTTCTCCTTGTTGTACAGTAGCTCCTCGTGGGTCTCCGTGGAGAACTCGAAGTTTGGACCCTGTGGTGGGGCAGAGGTCCAGCCAGGTCAGACCCCTCCCAGGACCTCTGCCCAGCTCTCCCACCTGGGGCCCACTTACCTCAACAATGGCGTCCACAGGGCAGGCCTCCTGGCAAAAGCCGCAGTAGATGCACTTGGTCATGTCGATGTCGTAGCGGGTGGTCCGGCGGCTGCCATCAGCCCTGGGCTCAGCCTCGATGGTGATGGCCTGGGGGGAGTGGCCACTGGTCACCATCACACTGCCAGCCATGTCCTGGCCCCAGGTCCAACCCATGTGGGGCTGGTTCCTATCCTTGGTGTCTGCGCAGATGCCTCTGCCCCTTGCCACCCCTCCTAAGGGGCAGCCCTCACACCTGCCACACCAGCTTCTGTTTCTCTCAGCTCCTGCCTCAGAAACATCTTGCTCTTTGTTAATTAACTGCCTTATCTCCTGCCTCAGAATGCCCCCCCAGGGCCAGGCTGGACGCCCCCTTCACTGCAGATTAGCCCTAGGGCCTGGTCCTGTAGAAAGTGCCCAGTGACTACCTGCTGTGTGGCGAGCAGCTCTCTGCCTCAGGTCTACTAATCCTCAGCTGACGATGATAAAGCTGAGGCTGAGGGGTTTCTGTGCACCACGTGTGTGCCAGCTAGGAGAAAGAAGGCAGCCTGGGGCCTCCCCAGCAGGAGGACCCTCAAGGATGCTCAGACCCTCCTGCAGACCTCCAGGAGAGCCACACTCACTACGCACAGTGGGACCTTTAGCTGTAGCCTCATCTTTCTATGCCTGTAAAATTGGACACATAACCTCTATCTGCTTGTGCTATTAACGATTAAATGAGATGATGGAAGGTGTGAGCTCAGTGCATGCCTGTCTGTGACCAGCACTCACTACCCAGAAGCCATGACTGCACTGGGGACTGAACCAAGGGGCACTTGTCACCGAGACACATCCCAAGCCCTTTTTTGCTTTTTGAGACAGTCTCTCTCTAAACTGCTGAGGTTGGTCTTGAACTTGCTGTCCTCCTGCCTCAGCTTCCCAAGTCTCTGGATGACAGGCGTGGGCTGTAGCCACGGTTGTTGCATGAGGACACTTCTGTGTGCTCCCAGGCAGTGGGTGGAGGAGAAGCATCAAAGCCACAGCTCTCAGCCTGGAGGACCTGGGAGTGGTCTAGGAGAGACTAGCTAGGATGTGGCCAGGAGCCACCCTGAGCCACAGATATTGGAAGGTGACCGTTGTGTGGACCAAGTGAGGACAGTCTGCTGGGCACACCAGGGTCTGAAGCATCTGCATCTCTGTTTCCATCCCAAGAGCCTCTAGGGAATCCTCCACCACCCAAAGCCAGAGCTGCCAGGGCCGGCCGCCAGGGACGGGGCCTCTGTCCGTGGGTCCAGCCCAGGGTAGGCACACACACAGATCTCCTGGAGCTGATGCTACATCTGGGGAAAAGTGGACACCTCAGGCGCCACCCCAACGATCCTAGGCCCAAGCCTCACACTGCTGACCGACCGAGTCAAGCACCACACATGCCACCCAGCCACACAGGCTGAAGGCTGGCCTCTGCTGCCACGCTGCTGCCCACGACACTCAGGCAACAAGGCCATCAGACCCACTCCTGGGGAGGGGGTGCAGGGTCAGGTTGCCTGTCCTCCCTCCAGGGGCAGGGGCTGGGCTCACCTGGGCAGGGCAGACGGCCTCACAGAGCTTGCAGGCGATGCAGCGCTCCTCCCCAGATGGGTAGCGGCGCAGCGCGTGCTCCCCACGGAAGCGCGGGCTCAGCGGGCCCTTCTCAAATGGGTAGTTGATGGTGGCTGGCTCCCGGAACATGTAGCTCAGGGTCATGCCCAGGCCTGTGGGCAGTACAGGCATGTGTGTGGGCCGTCTTCCTCCCCAGCACAGCCTTGCCCATTCTGTCCTCACCCCACCAGGACCCACCTCGGAAGAGCTCAGTCCACATCAGGGTCCTTGCTGCCCGGTCGGTTATTGACTTCATGTCCATCTCGGGCTCCTGCAGGTTCACATACTCTGCGGGGTGGCAGGCACGGCCCATGACAGGRGGTTCGGGAGTCCAGCTCAGGGAGATGAGGCCTGGCCTCACTCCTAGGCGTACCATTAGGCTCCCAGGGCCTGGTCATTCCCCACCCTTTCCCTAGCTTCCGCAAGGACCTGGGACGTCAGCCTGGACCTAGGCAGGCCTTACTCACTCCTCCCTGTGCCTAGGTGACCCTTGAGCCCACAATGAACCCTCATGCAAGGCTTTAAAGAGGAGCACGAGTGGGTGAGAGGCTTGGCCCCCACCTTCATGAGCAATCCCAATGCAGAGGAACAGGCACCCATGACTCACACCGCAGGCCCCACTCAGAGGAGCACTGCCACCACTCTCCCCCACCCTGACCCGGCAGGTCTGCTCCCAAGAATCTCAGCCCATCTCTATCATCATCCTTTGTTTTTTTCGGTACTGGGGATTGAACCTAGAAGCACTTTACCACTGAGTTACACCCCAACCATTTTTATTTTTATTTTGAGACAGGGTCTCACTAAGTTGCCCAGGCTGGCTTCGAACTTGTGATCCTCCTGCCTCAGCCTCCTAGGATTGCTGGGGTTACAGGTGTGCACTACCACGCCCAGCGTCATCCTTGGTTTTTGAGGGGAAACTGAAGCTCAGGAAGGGCCCAGGCACAGCCAGGACCAGAATGGTGTCCTCCCTGGCCTCTGGCAGGGCCTCCATCAGGAAACCTAGGCTGGAGGCCGCCCCACTACTCACTGTAGGTTGCTGCCACTGTGCTGCTGTGAAGGCTCCGGCCACTGGGATGTCCTACAAGGAAGGGGTGATGATGTGCTGTGATCTTAGGACAAAAGGGGCTTTCCCATCCCCAGGGAAGGCTCCCTTGGTCCTACCTGTGCGCACAGCCTGGGCCAGGACCCGCAGCAGCGTAGGCATGGTCAGGCAGCGCATCTGAGGGCATAAAAAGGAAGGAAAGTGCAAGATTGAAAACTGACCTTCCAGGACCCCTGGCACTTGCCCTCACACTCCATTCCCACAATGGCCATCTTGTTCCCAGGCACATGTCTTCCAGCCCTCCAACCTGATGCAGCTCGGCTGGGGTAAAGCTCTGGGAATTCTATGGGCCCTAAGTTCCTTCTACATCTCTCCCGGCCCTGATTTGTCCTCACAAAATAACAAGGCCAACCACCACCAGCTTGCACTACAAGTTAACTCTGCCCCAGGTTCTACGTGAGGACACTCAGGAACTGTCAGTTGTCCTTGTGAAGTGACTCCCCCAGTCCCACAACAGGGGAGCTTCAGGGCTGGAAGCCACCTCCCGCTGGAAACCCTCTCCCAGCTCCCGGCTCCCAGGCCCTTCTAGAACTGTCCCCCAGCATACTGAGTGACCTAAGGTAGGTGACGCCACCTGGTCTCTGACTTCTAACCTGCAAATTAGGGGGTCATGAGATTTATATATTGGGACTCATACACCCCAAAGGGTGAGTCCAGAGCCTGGCACTTCGCCAGAGCCCAAAAGGGACCCTCCAGGCCTATGACCTCTAGCGGGCCCACTCTTTTGACCAATGGCTACAGTCCCAGGCACCCAACCCACCACCTTCTCCGACCTTCCCCATGACCTCTGACCCCAAGGACGCACGCAGGAAGACGCGGCCAGGCAGCGCATGCGCCGCGAGAATGCCAGCTTCCCGGTCGGCCCGCGACACGTGAAGGGCGCAGAGGCCACGGGTCCTAAGGGGCCTAGATGAAGCGTAGGCACAGAGCTTGCGGGACTGACGGGGACACCACACTCGCCCCCGACGCTGCGCTGCCCAGCCTGGTCTTCACGGCCGAGCCCCGAGCACCCACCTCGAAGTGCTGCCTCTCCTTCCCCAGCCGAGCGGGCTGGTCAGCGAGAGGCGGAGCCTATCCCTGGGACATAGCCATTGGGTCGGCTGGTTTTGCCTTTTCCGCGGTGACCTCCTGCTGTGCCCTTATTGGCTAGTGGTTCTGCCGAAGGAGGCGGGATCTAGAAGCATCTTTCCTCTGATTGGCTGCGCAAAAGCAGGCGTGTGAAGTTGGGAAGGGCGCCGCCATATTGGTTCAGAAAGACCAATACCCGAGGACCTCCGAGTGCTGGAGGCGGGACGTCCGGGGCGTGGCTTAGGGAGAGGTGCGGGAATGCTGGAGGCGGGGGAGCCGGAGGGCTAGGTGACGCCGCTGTAACCGCGGCGGCGACCCCGGGCGCAGACGCTGGACTCGTGCGACTTCATCTAGTTTTCAGAGCTCAGTCTGGAGAAACGTTGCTATTACTTCTCAGATGAGGAAGCGAGGCGGGGACGTGTCAGGCCGCCGAGGAGCGGCGTGCGGTCTGCACCTGGACCGGTGGGCCTCGGGACCCGCCTCTCATCGTCTGTTTCCTCCTGTGCGCTCCGCGGTAGAGGGATCCTCGGGGGCTGCGGGCACTGAGTCGCCCCTGGGTCAGTCTTTGTGTGTGTTGGGATGGTGGACAGGGAAGGCTTCCTGGAGGAGGCGGTGCCTGAGCTGACATTAGGGTGGGGCAGGCCGGGAAGGACCGAGAAAGCTTGTCCAGCGCGGGTCCGAGGGTGGCGGCCTGGTGACTGCAGTCCTGGGAGAGGGGAGCAGAACAAGAGCCTTCTAGGGACTGAAGCAGATGAGGGACTTGTCAGCTACAGGTTGCCACTGAGGGGTCTCTGGCCGAGTGGTGGCATGGTCCTGCCTAATTTTGGAAGATTGGTGGGTAGCGTGGGGAGAGGAGCTAGGCCAGAGGGAGAAGTGAGGTGATAGTGTCCTGCTCGAGGCCCGGCCCTGGTGTTGTGATTTGTGTATGAGTTGGAGCAATCCTGGGGTGTTACAGGTTCACCAGGACGTGTTCAAAGCTGTGACCTGGGGGAGGAGATAGGGCGTCCAGCAGGAGCCACAGGGTTTTGGTCCTGGTGGCAGATGAGTGAATGGAGCCCCAAGGATGAGCAGGATGGTGAGGAGTTGGGGTTGGACATGCTCACCGGGAGGCAGGCAGAGCTTCTGAGAGGCTGCTGAAGCAAAGGGCAGTGCTGCTGCAGGAATCTCAGCCCTGCCTGGAGGGAGAGGAGAGGGAGGCAGCCCCCTGTCCCTCACCCACTCTGGCCTTGCACCCCAAGAATAAAAGGACACCTGGAGCTCATGGTCAGCAACTCGGGATTTAATCTTTGTAACAATCTTCAGAGGTGTCATCATCTCCACCAGCACTGCAGGTGGGGACACTGAGGCTCACAGAAGACAGTGATGACCTGCTCACACAGCTTCCATGCTGTGGCCTGGACCCCATGCCAGGGCTCCTCTGCTGCACCCTCTGCAGGAAGGCAAGTGGCTCAGAGGTGCCACGTTTGCTCTCTTCTTCCGGGACATGATGGATGACATGGGGGGTAGAGGCAGGTCTCTGCACTGTTCCTGTGCTCCCGTCCTCAGCCTGTCCTCATTATGGGGCAGCTAAGCGTCAGAAAAGGAAATCCCCTGGAGGGTGAGGCTGAGCAAGCTGCTCTGTCACCTGGGCGTCTCCTTGTGCCCTAGCCCACATCTCTGGCTGCTTCATGAGGGGAGGGAGGCTGGTGCCCCAGCACCTGCGGGCTCAGAGCAGTGTGCAGCTGCATCTGCGCTCCTCCATGGCCACCAATAGCACCCTCAGATTGCGTGGTGAGTAGGGAGGGTAGCGGAGGTCGTTGATCTTCTCCATACCCGGGCTTCGGAGCAGGCAGGCACGATGGTGGGAGAAGGTGTCAAAGGAGAACTTGCCATGGTACCTGCCCATCCCGCTGGCACCTGTAGAGTGGCATAGAGCACAGGTCAGGCCCTCAGTGGCCCACTGGGGGGATATCAGGCAGACCTGGGCTCTGATCCTCTGAGCCTTAGTTTCCCCATCTGTTAAGTGGGCTGATCAGGGTTGGGCCCCAAGCCTTGCATTATAACCAGGACAGTAAGTGCTGGGGACACCAGGTATTGGGGCAAGCTAGGCACACAGTGCTCAAGGGTGCCTATTTTATAGCCACACTGCCCAGGGTTGACGCTCAGCTCTACTATGAATAGCTGTGTGTCACCTTGGGCAGGTGACTTTAACTCAGGTTCATCCTCTGGGACTATGGAACCACCTCAAGGGTTGTGGCAAGAACTAAGCAAGAAGCCAGTCGTGGTGGCGCACGCCTCTAATCCCAGTGGCTCAGGAGGTTGAGACAGGAGAATTGCGAGTTCAAAGCCAGCCTCAGCTAGGGCTGGGGTTGTGGCTCAGTGGCAGAGTGCTTGCCTCACACATGTGAGGCACTGGGTTCAATCCTTAGCACCACATAAAAACAAATAAACAAAATAAAGATATTTAAAAAAATCAATCGAGGTGCTAGGCAACTCAGTAAAACCCTGCCTCTAATTAAATAAATAAGTAAATATAGGGGGCTGGGATTGTGGCTCAGCAGTAGAGCACTCGCCTAGCACATGTGAGGCCCTGGGTTCAGTCCTCAGCACCACATAAAAATAAATAAAATAAAGGTATTAATATCTATATCTATCTATATAAATATAAATAGGGCTGGGGATGTGGCTCAGTGGTCAGGTGCCCCTGAGTTTAATCCCGAGTACCAAAAAAGGAAATAAAAAGAACCAAGCAAGTGTTCAGAGCTGCGAACGTGGTCAGCTCTGTGTTGTTGGTTTGCATCAGGGTCTAGGAAGGGAGGCAGACAAGGACCAGGCGAGGGAAATCAGGGGCCATGGCCTGGGTGGAGCTGGGGCATCCTGGAGTGAGTGGGCCGAGGGATATGGCGCTCACCAGGTGAAGAGGGAAGATGGGCAGGAGGAGCACTGGTGTGGGGTAACAGAACCCTGGGGGCCAGTGCCTGTTAGGGCCAAGCTCAGTGGCTGAAGCAGCAGGCAGGAAGCTGGGGAAGGAGGCTAGAGTGGGACCCCTGGTCTGGCCTCAGGATGCTGGGAGTCAGGCCTGGCTTGATCTGGGGCCTCAGGGTCGCAGCTGGACCAGATATGCCTGCAGGCCAACCCCCACTCCTCCAGGGGCAGAGAAAGTAGGATGAGGAGTGGGACTGGCAGTGACCTCGGTAGGAGCAGAGGCTCCAGGTTGGAGGAAGGGGGGATCCAGAGCCAGTGTCTCCGTGTGCCCACCCCAGTGTGGCCTGCACTGCCAGGTGGCATTGTCTCAGCCTGCTGTGTGCTGTGGTGGCCCTAGCCACCCTCCAGGAAGGGTCCAGGCAGTACTGAGGTACAGCTCCAGGCCTTGCTGCTGCTCATTCTGGAGCTGACTGTGGCAGGACCTTGACTGCCTCCTCGGCCTCTACCCTTTCACTGAGGAAGTGGGCCAGAGAGGGGAAGTGGCTGCCCCAGGTCACACAGGCTGACGGGCTTTCCGGGGCCAGCCCTAAGGTTTCCCAGTCTGGAGGCCAGGGCTTTGCAGCTGTGATGGAGCTGAGGGCAGGGGGCTGGCCTGTGGGCTGCGGGAGGGTGAAGGAGCGCAGGCAGCCAGGCACGGAGCGTAGAGCCCCTGGGGCAGTGCCCGTGGACAGACAGCAGACCCCAAGCCGTGCTGTTGGGAGAAAGGCAGTTGTAGCACAACAGACAGGTGGCCACGGCTGTGCACCTGTGGGCCCACCTATGTGCGTTATGTGCAGGCAGGTCTGGAAGGTTCCACTCCAAACCGGGGAGGAGAGCAGGATGGTCAGTGCAGGGGGCCTCCATGTCGCCTTCCAGGTGAGGTTGGGCTCAAGCAGTTTGTGGCAAGAAATTCGTCAGGTAACACTGCTGCCACACACTCGGGGACGGCAAGAGGGCAGGGCTCCGCGGGCACCTACCCACTCCTCCGAAAGGCAGGCTGGCCAGGGTCATGTGCATGAAGCCGTCATTCCCGCAGAAGCCCCCGCTGCTGGTCTGGGCCAGCACCCGCTGGACCACCTGGGAGAGAGCAGAGTGTTCGAGGCTGAACCTGGCGGCTCCGGCCTTGCTGCAGAGGGTCCAGGGCCTTGGCATCTGCCGAAGGTAGGACAGGCACGCCGCCCCTCACAGAGCCGCTGACGTGTTTCCTGAGTGCTGGCGCGTGGTCTGTGCAGCGTGCTGGGACACAGGCTCTCAAGCCCAAGGGGGAGGCAGAAGACAGTGTCACCTGGGGACGGGTAAAGTGTCATGGCAGTGGTGCGGTGCCACGTAGTCAGGGAGGTGTCCCAGGAGGGACCTGGTGTGCCTGCTCAGTCTCATGGGGAGGGGCCATGTGGAGTGAGCACGGGGACACACGAGGACCTGACACTGCAGTTCCATCTGTCCCTGGCTGACTTAACGAAGACCTTCCTTTTCAGTCTAGGTTTATCTGAAGAAGGAAATGGGGAAAACGAGCCGACTCTAAATAGTTGCTGTGAGGTCACTTCACTGTAGCTCCAATCCTTGTGGCCCTCGTGACCAGCCTTAACAGCAAACAGCCAGGTGGACCGGTGCTGGCGGTCAGGGAGGTGGAGGGCCAGAAGACCCTGATGCCAAAAACCCAGGTCCAGTTTCCTAAAGGTCAAGGATCCTGATAAACAGGGTCCTTGGAGGAAAGGCTGGTTCTAGAGTTGGATCAGGAAGGTGCAAGGTGACCAAAGTTTGGCCATGTCATAGGACACAGGGGCCTCCAAGCCTGTGACACAGCCTGTAGCGCAAAGAATCAAGTAAGCATATCCCTTCTACATAAATCATTGAAGACACAAATAACATGCAGATGATCTAACACCTCGCACAGAGCGCCCCCCACACTGCCTCCGTGGCCCAGGGCCAGACTCGGAGCCTGGCTCCAGTTCATGGTGGGGCCCCGGCAGGTGCAGCCTCACCCAGGAGCTGAGGTTCACCCTGCTGGCCAGCTGAGGTCTCGCCACACCCAGCACAGCCTTGCTCCCCACAGCCCAGCACCCCTAATGAAGTCCTGGGAAAAACCAGGCACCCTGAGGCTGGGGACAAATAAAGCTGCTGGCCTGAGCTGAGAGGCTCAGCTAGTGCATCATTAGCTCCTGGAGGAGAAAGGACCTTCATGGAAACGGGTGAAGTCCCCAGGAAGCCCGAGTGTAGTTCATGGAGATGAACCATGGCAGTTTCTTATTCCGACCCACGACAGGGCCCTTAGGCAGGGGAATCGGGGATGGGGCACAGGAGAACTCTACTGTCCCTGAAGCTCTTCTGTGAGTCCAAAGTTATTTCCATATAAAAAGTGTACTTAAAAAACCATTGTTCAGACAGGAGGAGAATCTCAGGAGGGCTGGGTGAGGGGTGTGGGAGGGTGGTGGGAACTGTTACCCTGTCCTAGGCTGGGGACACCACCCCTGTGCCCTGGGCCTAAGCAGGGCACATTGTGGGAACTCCATGTGCTTGTCCTATCCACACCCCAGGTGGCCCTCTCCTGTGTGCCTCCAGAGCTAGGCATGGTGGCCACCAGGTGCAGGTGTATGGGGAAAATTGACTTGGGGACTCTGGACCCTGGAGAAGATCCCAGGGACATACTCCTGGGAAGAAGGACAGGAACAAAGCCAAGAGCCACCAGCCCTGAAGTCCTGTGTGACTGCCCCACAGAGGCTGTGTCCCTTCTGCTGCTGCCACTTCCCTGTCCTGCCGGGCCGCACCTGGGAGCTGTTGGAGAAGGCGTACAGGGCCAGGGGCTTCTCCCGCCGGTTGATGAAGTCAATGGCTTCATCCAGGCTCCTCACGGTCACCAGGGGCAGGATGGGCCCAAAGATCTCCTCCTGCATCACGGGCTCCGTCTCCTGCACGTCCACCAGCACAGTGGGCGCTGCGGGYGGGCACAGYGACAGTCAGCCCAGGGCCACAGCAGGGACACCCCARGGGAGGGGATTCRKCAGGGCCGGGACCCAGGATGCAGGCTGGGGACCCCTGGCCTGACCTCCCAGCTCTCCAGGCTCTGAGGACCTGGGTCCTGGCCTCTCGGGACCCAGATGGCAGGACAGACGGCAGGATGGGAGCTTACACCACCCTCCGGACCCTGGAACTGGGGTCCCGCTCAGTGGGTCAGACTTTGGGRTGAGGAGACAGGCTCCGGGCCGTGGTGACGTGGGGYCTTCRTGTTCTGGAACCAGGCACCRGGCCGGGGACCCAGGCCTGGCCAGCAGGGAGCGGGGCCGGCTTTCAGGCGAGGCCCCTGCAGCGAGGAAGGCCCTGGGCCCAGGGGGCTGCGGCAGGGGAGAGGGGACTGACCGATGTAGAGCTCGCTCTCGTCGCTCTGGCCACCGATGGCCACCCGGCCACAGCCCAGCAGTCCCTGGAGCCGCTTGAAATGCTTCTGGCTGATGATGCGGCCCAGGTTGGGGGAGCCCTGGGGGTCGTCGCCATAGAAACGGGTGATGGCGTTCTGCAGGGCGGGCAGCAGGCGCTCGCGCGTCTCGGGGCTGCACAGGACGTAATCCGGGGCCACGCAGGTCTGGCCGGCGTTGAAGTACCGGAACCAGGTGACGCGGTTGGCCACGGTCTGGGGGTCACAGTCGTCGTCCACGTAGCACGGGTTCTTGCCCCCCAGCTCCAGGGTGACRGGGGTCAGGTGCTTGGCAGCGGCGGCCATGACGATCTTGCCCACACGGGGGCTCCCTGGGCATGGGAAGAAATCACTCTGATTAAGCGGACAGCCTTGGCCTGGGGCTGGGCTCCTGGCTCCTTGCCTGGCCTCCTCACCACTCCGCCACCCTGCAGGCCAGGGCCCTGCTCGTCTCTCCCCAGACCAGCCCCAGCAGTGCAGATGCTCTGGGGAGGCCCCGGCTGCAGCCCATCCTGTGGGCCACTCTTCCTAAAATGCTAGCTGTTCCCCTCCCAGTTCTCCGTTCTCCTCTAGAGCCTTGGTGGCCTCTTACCAGCTCTCAGCCTGCCTGTCCCCTCTCTGTCCCCAACTCCCTTCCTGAGTTCCTGGATCTAGAGGGCACCTCACCAGGCCTGTGGCTCCTGCTCATCTCCTGCCTTGGCTCAGATGCCACCTGTCACCCCTGGAGCCTCCCGCACTGGCCTGGCCTGCAGCTCCACGCCTCTCGGCCCCTGCTCTCTTCTCTCCCCTTATCGCAGAACTCCAAAGGTCTTGTCCTTCCAGCCCCTCTGCACCCTGAGGCCCACATGGTGTCTGGCACTTGGTCGGTGGGCTCAGCAAACCTCACTGACCAGGGCAGCAGGAGAGAACGGAGCTCCAGGGCCAAGTCTGGGAAGGACTTCGTCTGTCCTTCCTTCGCCCTCAGGACAGACCTGTGACTTAGAGATGACTCAGCTTTGCAGATGAGAAAACAGGCCTGGAGAGCTTGGGGTGCAGCAGAGGTCCCCGTAGTCTGCAGCCTCTGTGCAGGCCACCTTGAGGACTGCGCCTAGAACAGCCTCTGGGGTCTCCCTGCCTCTATACCCTGGTCCTGGGGCGCTGGCCTCTCACCCGCCAGAGCTGCAGGGTGGGTGGAGGGGCAGCTCCTCCCTCGCATGGGGACTACAGGAGCTGCCACCAGACCCTCTTGCTCCGTGAGCCTCCCTGTGGTCAGGTGGGACAGGCACCGCTTTTCCTGAGCTTGACGCAGGGTCCACAGGGAGAAGGGCAAGGCTGCGTCCCCACCCCCCCTCCTCTGAGGTCAGAGGTGAGCTCAGCCCTGGGAGTGCTGCCCCCTGCCTCTGTCCTTGTGTCTCCTCTACAAGTCCCATCCTGGTGATGAAGCCAGGAGGTGTGGGGACTAGTGTGACGGCAGGGGAACCCTGGGGTCAGCTCTCACCAAGGGTTTGGGTGCACATCCTGTCCTGGCCAGAGCAGAGTGACCCTGGGCAGGGCCCTTGGTCACCTGGACCCGGGCCTCACCTGTCTAGCCTGCAGTAGGGCCACTGTCCCTGGGGTGGGAGGCCTGGCACAGCTGGAGCTAGCCAGGCCAGATGCTTGATTCAGGAGACTGGTTGGCAGAGGTGGGTTGTGGACCCACACAGGGGACTCGATGCCATTTTGAGTGGTGCTGAGGGACCAGGTCCTGCTCCCAGCCTGGTTGAGGTCAGCCCCTGTGCACCCACCCAGCGCTTGCCCATTCGGGGCTGGGTCACCGGTGGCCGTTGCCTGCTCTTGGAGTTCAGGGATGGGATCCCCCAGGGCCTCCCCTCCTCACCTGTGAAGAAGATGTAGTCGAACCTGTGCTCCAGCAGCCTCGCGGTCTCCGCGGGCCCACCCAGGGCCACAGCCAAGCAGCTCTGCGCCACAGGTGGGGGTCCCAGCTTCAGTGCCCGGGGGCGGGGGGGAACTTTCCTGCCCACCCCCAGCCCCCTGGCCTGACCCAGAGTTGCCAAGGCTCTAGGAGGCTGGGTAGGTTGGGGTCCCCCAGGGGATGGGGCCCAACAGGTATGGAGTTGAGGGGGTGGGGCCGGGCTGGGCAGACGGAGACAGAGCTGGGACTCCCAGGGACAGGTGCACAGAGGGAAGTTGGTGGGGGGCACTTAGCCAAGGTCACACAACTTGGGAGAGGTAGCACTGAGGTTGGGACTTGGGTCCCCTGACGCCAGGGGCTGCCTGTTCCTCTCACCTGGTCTAGGTAGCGGGGCAGCACCTCGGCCAGCACCTTCTCAACGCTCTTGCTGATCTCGGAGGGCTTCAGGACCACACAGTTCCCTGCAGGCGGAGAGGAGGGGGCGGGAGGTGGACGCCCAGCCCACAGCCCTGCAGGCAGGTGCTGGCCCCGCCCACTGTCAGATGGAGACTCTGGCTGAGGGGACAAGACCCATCTGAGGCCACACAGCCCTGGACAGTGGGCCCGGTGGAAGCACCTGGTCTGGCCCCGGGGGCCCTGAGACCTGGGGGCTGTAGGAAGGCGGAGGCTCTCTCCGCTCTCACCTGCAGCGATGGCCCCCACCAGGGGCACCAGCGTCAGGTTCAGCGGGTAGTTCCAGGGCGCGACGATGAGCACCAGGCCGAAGGGCTCCTTGCGGATGAAGGCCGAGTCCAGCTGTGTGGCCTGGGTGGGTGTGGACAGTGAGGTGCCCGAGAGGCCACCCCATGGGAGCAAATATTCCTGAAGCCCGCCTGCCCGCCCYGACCCCCGGCCTCTCACCAGGTTCTTGGACACCTTCTCGTCCTTCATCCACGTCTGCAGGTTCCTGAGGGCCAGGTCGACCTCGCTCTGGCTGATGGCGATCTCAGACACCTCCGCCTCAAAGTTGGACTGCGGGAAAGCCAAGGTCGGGGTGGGCTGGGGGTCAGCGGGTGGCTGGATGGAGGACGGCACAGAACCTGCTGCTGTGACCCCTCTGGGCTCACTCTACGCTCCGTGCCCTTCCCGGGAACAGGCGCTGTTCCTGTGCCAAGTTGGAGCAGCGACCAAAACAGATGGGCAACCACCCTGGGGTCCCATGTAGGGGACAGTGACTGTGACCATGAGATCATCAATGGCCGTGTTAAGTCTTGACGTGTGCAGGACTGGGTGTGAGAGTGTGCGCGAGGTGTGCTGTTTATACAGTGGTCAGTACAGGTCTCCGGGATGAGGAACCATTGAGCAGTGACCTGAAGACAAGGGGGTGGGGCCTGCATGCCTGGGGGTGGCACGTTCTGGACAGGGGTCCCAGTGGGGGCAGGGCCCTGCATGGCCGAGGTGATGGCCAGGTGACAGGAGACACCGCTGAGCAGAGGGGGTGGGATCCGACTTGGACCTAACAGGCCGCGTACAGCTGTCTGCAGGGTGGACATCCATCTGTACAGCGCAGGGCACAGCCCCCTCCCTGGCAAATCTCTGTTCCCACAGCCCAGGGACAGGGACCACGGTCAGGTTTCTAGGGCAGGAGGGAGGAGACAATAATCGATAGAGCTAGGTGCGGTGGCCACGCCTGTCATTCCAGTAGCTCAGGAGGCTGAGACAGGAGGATCTCAAGTTCAAAGGCAGCCTCAGCAACGGCGAGGCGCTAAGCAGCTCAGTGAGACGCTGTCTCTAAGTAAAATACAAAACAGGGCTGGGAAGGGGCTCAGTGGGCGAGACGTTGTCCTGATCTCTGCCAGCTGGTGTGTCCTGTCCCCACCCCCAGGAGAGACACGGCCAGTGGAGTCACTGCCAGCTACTGGAGGCCACGGCCAGAGCGACTGCAGGACCAGCTCCCTGCGTCAGAGCAGAGGTGATGGGACACAGGGTGCCGGTGGTCAGGACCAGAGGCAGGAATCGTCCACTCGGGGTCACTCAGCAAGCCTGCAGCAAGGCCAGGGCCAGCGCTGGGCCCAGGAGGAGGGAACAGCCTCAGAGGACAAGGCCGTGCCCCCTCGTGCCCCCCGTGGCTGCCGGGCTGCAGCGAGCCTTCAGCCACACTGTGTCCATAGCTGGTTACGCTGCCGGGACCCGGGCAGCCTGGGTCTGCTGAGCTCCGTGACTCTGGAGAGTGGGCCACCTGGAGCCGGCTTGGGCCCTGGCTGTGTCTTCGGGCAAGAACGTGTCCCTCCCGAGCCTTCTCTAGGGGTAACTGGGAGTGACGCACCTCCAAGAGCCGCTGGGTGTGTGGGAGGACRCAGGTCTGGGAGACTCTGCCTGCTGGGGTGGGGACGGCCCGGGAGGGGTCAGGTTGGGTTTCCTGGGCTCCTGGAGCCGGAGCTGAAGTGGCAAAGGGACCAGATAGCCCGGTTGGTCAGGTCAGGTCTCGGGTGGCAGGAGACTCGCTCCCCAGGGAGCCCAACAGGCTGGGGGAGGCGACAGCTGGGGACGTCCTGCCCAGAAAAGGGTTCTGGGGCAGCCCGCTGGACACTGTCCTGGGGCAGGAGTGTGGTCGGGGGGTGGGGCTTTGCCAGGTGCGTGTTTCTGGGGCCTCCACGGTGGTGGCTGCAGGATGGGGAGGGTCTGAGCCTGTGGGCCTCCCGGGTTCACACAGAGCCTGTGATGCCCGCTGTACCCAGAGTGAGGCCAAAGTCCTCCGGGGCTGACCATGTCCGACCCACTGGGTCCCACCTCCCAGGCCTCACCTTCCACATCTCTCTCTCCCACTCCCTCCAGCCACACTGGTCTCTTTGTAGCTCCTCAAATACACCAAGTCCTCCTGCCTCAGGGCCTTTGCATGTGCTACACAGGTGGCCACCCCCAATGTCCAGGGGCTCTTTCTTTCCCTCTCCTCTGTGTCTCTGCTCTAATGCTCCCCTCTCAGAGACACCTTCCCTGCCCCTCCCTGTATAAACCAGCACCTGCTCCTGGTCCCCTCCGCCCTTTCTCTGGGGTGTCTCCATGACACTCATTATCACTCAGCCCACTGTGCCACCTCTGTTCTGTTGTATTGTCCCCCACCAGAGGGTCAGCTCTGTGGACTGGGGGCCTTGGCCCTGTTCGGGTGCCCAGAGCCTCACCAGCACACAGTAGCTGCAGACTGAGCGGAGGACCCGGGGCTGGGTGAAGGCAGGAGGCAGGTCCTGGCCCGGGCAGGAGCTGGGCTCTGGTGGCTCTTAGTCCCTCTGTCCCAGCTGTGCTGCCTGACCCCTCCCTGCAGGGCACCCTCTCCTCGACCCCGGCCACCTTGCCCAGGTCCTGGGCCAGCGCGTCCAGCAGCAGCTGCCTGTTGTCCTTCAGGAAGCGGCCCAGGCCCTGGAGCTGCGCAGCCCGGAACTCTGCCGGCCGAGTCCGCCCCGAGCCGAAGGCCTCCCGCAGCCGCCGCAGCGTGTCCTCGAGGGGGTCCATCCTGTGGWCGGGGCAGCGAGAAGTGGGTGCTCCACCTCCAGGGCGTCCTGCGGCTGCCCCTCAGTTACCCCACGGGCCAGCCGAGGCCTTCAAGTCCCTGCCCTGCCATGGGCGCACTCAGATGTGCCAGGCCTGGTAACCACTCCCTTTGCCAGGGGAGCGCGGGGTGTCACGGGAGACAGTGTGGCTTGGGGACAGCTGCTCCCCGGCCCCCAGGCCTGGGCAGGCAGGCTGAGGTCACCCTACTTCCTGTCACATAGGGTGGCCCTGAGTCACGGTCCCACCCTGCTTGGGAGCCCTCCTGGAGGGAGGCTGGCCATCACCTGGCCTGGCCGAGTGGACAGGAGTATGATGAATGGAGGGACAGTTTGCCATCTGCCACCACGGCCACCTCTTGGCATATGCTGGACACAGAGATCCCTGTCCCCTCTGTCCCAGCCTGGGAGCCAGGATGGGTGTGGCAGCTCAAGGCCTGGGTGACCTGGGCAGTGGCCCCCTCTCCCTGCACCTCAGTTGCCCTGGCACAAGGGGGAAGGCCCTGCTGCCCCCTCCAATCCAGTCTGCAGTGCTTGTAGAAGGAGGTGACATGGGGCGAGGGACACTCATGGCTCCATGCTGTCACCAGCCAGGGCAGGGCCCCACGTCCCCCTGGGCCCCACCTGTTCCCTTGAGGCTCCTCTGATGAGTGCTGTGACCACCCACTCCTCAGCCTGGTGCCTGCCTCCCTCGGGTCTCAGCTGATGCCTCCTCCAGGAAGCCGGCCCTGACTTCTCCCACCCTCCCCCGTAGCTGCCCCTTGCCTGTCTCCCACTGTTCTGGGTGGTGCTGTGAGATAAATGTCCAGTGACTCTCGGTCCACCCCAGCAGTCTCCTCCCCTGTCTGCTTCCTCCCAAGGGCCTGGACTGCAGCCCCTGCTGGCCTACTTGACCCTTCCTTTGGGTCTCCGTGCCCAGCCTCCCCGCCTGCTGGGCATAGAGCAGCACGTGCCAGCTGGTAGGTGCCTGCCGGCCTCCGGAGCTGGGCTCCTGGCTGGGCCTCGTAAGCTGGGAGGCCTGGGCAGGCCCTCGCCCTCCCTGCCTGGGTCTCCTTGTCCAAAGCACAGGGCGAAGCTAGCCCTGGCCCCTCTGCGCCATGTGGCAGGACATGGCCTAAAGCGCTGGCCGTTGTGCCCTGAGCTCAGGGCACAGGGTCACCTGGCTGTTTCTCTAAGAGGTCTACAAATATTGACTCCTCTCCCGTCACCTTCTCACCCCCACCGAGGGCGTGGCTACAAGCGCACTGCCCCCTGCCTTTCATCAGAGCCTCTCAGCGCCCACAAAAATGTGAAGCTCGCAGCACCCACAGGGGACGTGGGCAGGAGCTCGGTGGGGGACAGGGGTCCAGTGGAACATTCCAGCCGCTGCTCCCAGCAACAGTGAGGCTGGCTGGCAAGGGCAGCAGGCTACGGCCCTGAGCTGCCCGTGCCCCTGAGGCTGGTCACTCTGGGCTGAGGCCCCCAGCAAGTGGCCCGAGGGTGGGAGCTGGGCAGGACCCAGGCAAGCAGAGGAGCCAGGCCGTCCTCTGCCCAGAGTCCTGGGCTGTCCCCTCAGGGGAGCCGCGCAGCCACTGTGGACACAGGAGATTCCTGCGGCAGTCACGGGGCTGGGCCGGGAGCGCGGTCCCCCTTCGTGGGTCCATCTCGGGTCCATCTCACACTGAGTCTGTCCGGCTGTCTGCCCTGACTCGCTGAAACATGCCAGCAGCTGGGGACCAGGACACAGCAGGCACGGCGTCCCCCAGGGCCATCCACGTACTTAGGCTGGAAACCCAGGTCCACCCCKGGCTCAGCACAGTTCCAGTGCCCTGCGAGGGGGCAGCCGGAGTCCTGGGGAGGGGACCTGGGGCCAGCCTGTCAGCGAGGCACCCTGTGAGGACAGGAGTGGCGCTCTTCCCGTGCTGTCCCCTCACCTGCCCTCAGTCCCGCCAGTGCCCACTGCGCCCGGCAGGCCCAAGTCCCTTCCTGCCTCCACGGGCCGGGCCAGGGAGGTCCAGGGGCTGCAGGCCTGGAGGTCTCTGTGAAGGGGGGTGGGCAGGGCTTCCTAGAGCATTTGAGGGTGAAAAGAACACTGGCCTGTGTCCCCTGGGGCCGGGAAGGTCCGGCCACTTCCCTCCAGGGGGATGACCCGGGGATCCCTCTAAAAATGATCACAGGCTCTGGCTTGGGGGCACAGGTGTGCCTGCCCAGGTGTGGCTCGGTGCTGGCTCCTCCCCTCMCGGAGCCCCTAGCTGTGCCGGGTGTCGGGTCCTGGCCTGCCCGTCCGCAGCCTGGGGCTGGATGCTCCTGCGGCTGCAGGCCCTGTCCCTACTCAGGCCTTCSGGCTTTTTGTTGTTGGGTTGTGTTGTGCTGGGATCCAACCCAGGGCCTCCTACCTTCTGGGCCAGTGCTGTCACTGAGCCGCTGGCCTCTCGGCCCGTGGCATGGCCTGGGGGTCCAGCGACCTGGCTCCCAACTCCCAGCAGCTCTGCTTATTTGCTGGGGGACCTAGGGCGAGTCTCTTGATCTGAGTCTCACTTTTCCTGTCTGTGAAATGGCACGGGCATGCCCGGGAGGTGGCCGTCACCTGAGTAGACTCTTGCCCCCTCCGGGGTCATGGAGTGTGTTCCCTCTTGGGGCAGCTGGGCACAGGGCGGGGTCCCTTGGCCTCACAGGGCGTCCAGTACCCAGGAGGAGGAGGCCTGATGGCCCACTCCCACAGACTGAGGTTGGCTGCTGGCGGCTGGGCCCAGCGCTCCAGCCTCTCCCGGGCCCTCCTTCTCCCMCTCCTTGTCCCTCCACCCTGTCTCTTCCTTCCCCTTTCTCCCCTGGCCAGCCATGGAGCCGAGGACACAGTGAGCCTGTGTGTCCCCAGCAGCCTGCCTGCCTGGCAGCCTGCAGCCCCGTAGCTGAGCCGGGTCCCGGCCCTGGCTGATGGGTGCAGCCCCAGCTGCCCGGGATACAGTACCTGAGGCCCCGCCAAGCTGCCCTTCCTGCTGGCTGTCCCCGCTCGGCTGGGGCTCCCCTGCCTTATGAAAGGTCCAAGACCGCCGGCCTCCCGGGCGGGGCACCCTTGGCCTCGGGCCTGACTTTGGCGCTGGGCCAGCTGGAGGCTGCAAAGCAAGATTTTGCCGCTACTTCCTCCAGAGGCCTCTAGATCCTTCCCTGAGCCTCAGGAGAAGGAGCCAGGACTCAGAGAGGGCAGCACCAGGCCACAGGCCACACAGCCCGTCAATTCTGACCAAGGGGCCCGGCCCCAGGAGGGCCCAGGGCAGTGGACGGGGAATTAGGGGCGAGATGGGGCCCGGAGGCCTACAGCAAGAGAGGCTCTGCCCTGCCCCAGCCCCCGAGCTCAGGGTCCCCATCTGCAAAGCCGAGATGGCTGGTGGCCAGAGCACAATCCCAGGACAATGTCTGCTGCCTGCTGTCCTCAGCCTCTGCCTAGCTGTGTCCCCAGCACCACCSCAGCAGCACCCCCTGCACAGAACCTGTCACCCCCCAAACCTGACGTTTTACAAATGAGGAAAGCAGTGCCCAGAAAGGGGAGGGGACTTGACCAGGGGCAGGGGTGGCAGGGCTTCCTGCTCCGAGCAGGTGTTCACCTTCACGGATGTCCCCTCTGCCTCCCAGGGACGAATCCACCCTCCACTGCCTACGGCAGTGATCAGATGCTACGCATCACCGTGTCACCTCCTCCTCAGGCACAGAGCTGTGCCCGGGGGCCTGCCACCTGCTTTGCCACTGTCTCCACCGCAGGCATACCTGTGGGGCCAAGCAGGTGCAGGGTCAGACGGGCGCGTGGGTTCCAGGTGTGTGGGCAGGGACCGGCTTTGTGCCGCTGCCTGCTGCGGTGCCCTCCCTGCTGGTGCCCTGGGTCTGCCTGGAGGCTCCGGGGCCAGGGCCTCTGGGCCGACCTTGCACCTGGGAGATGCTCATGGCTGCCCCACCCACCGGCTCCCCTGCCTCCCTGGGCGGGCGGGAGAGGGCCTCTGGCCCACGACGGCTCGGACACCCTGGAGGCTTTAGCTAGTTGGGGTGGGGGAGGGACAAGGGGCTGCGGAGGACCCCCTCCCCGTTCTCTGTGGAGGATGGAGCCCCCAGCCGCCACCGGTCACGTGACTCAGCATGTGACAGCCTGCTCTGCAGCTCTCTGGAGCTGAGCCAGACAGAAGCCAAGAGAGCTGGTGACAGGCAGGGCTAGGCGGGGGCTGAGTCCATAGCTCTCAGCCAGGAAGTAGGCTYAGAGAGGAGCAGTCACAGGCCTAAAGCCACACAGCAAACTGGGAGCCCACCTGGGAAGGTCCTGATGGGTGAGAGGGGTGTGCAGGATCCTAAAGACCCTCTCTGACCAGAGAGCTGCCAGGAGACTCCCTGCAGGGCTCGCGACAGCTCGCAAGGAGGCTCCCGAGGAGGCCTGCCTTCCTGGGACAGGTCCACCTGTGCTGGGTGTGGAGGCCCCTCTACCCTGGGGTGGGAGGCACCCCACCCTTCTCCTTGCCCCAGAGGGGGGTTCCAGAGGCTCAGTGGGCCTGATGGTTGTGGCCAGGACCTCCAGGGGTCACTCTTAGAGCTGCCTGGGCCTGCACATCTGGTGCAGGGGAGCCAGAGGTCTCGACCTTCCTGCTGTGGCCACGCTCACGTGTCTGGGCCAGGCAGATCTGCCCACCAGCACTGGGTAGCACTTGCTTCTTGGCCTTGGAGTTCTCGAGTGTGTACAGGCGAGAGCAGGCCCAGGGTGTCCACAAGGTAAATGGCTGACACGGTGAAGCACTTAGCTCGGCACCTGGTACAGAGGCGGTGAGGGGTAGCCTGGTTTCCAGCCCCGGTCCTGACACTTGTCTGTGTGACCTCAGGTCAGTGTCTTAACCTTCCTGTGCCTCTGCATCTCCATCTAGAGGGATACGGAACCGTAACACGTGCCCAAGGATCCCGAGGAGGAATAGCTCAATCCCTGCAGGTGGGTCTGGAGGCATTGGCATTTCAAGTGCCCCAACCCGACCTGAGGAGGCCGAGAGCCACTTCCCAAACTCCAGGACAGGAAGGTGGCTCAGGCCCCTGCCAGACCCACCAGCTGCCTTCCAGACCGGCTCGGTCCCACCGTCCTCTGCCAGGGTCCCTAGCTTTGGCCCTCCCCCTGGCCCTTCCCTCCTCACCCACCCGCAGCCCCCTCTGCAGCGGACAGCGGAGGCCCAGGGAGGTGCCTGAGGTGGGGCCTGACCTTGGGTTCAGGGCGCCCCAGCAGCCCTCTCCCTCTGGTGGGCCTGCTGCGGTGGCCGCACAGGAGGAGGTGCCGCCCCGGCCACCCCCGCCCCGGCCTGGGCCTGGCCTGCCCACGCAGTGCCCCAGATGCTGGCACTTACTTCAGAGGATTTGATGGAGAGACCCTGCTAGCCCGGCCTGGTGGCCACACCCGAAATCCCAGCAGCTGAGGCAGGAGGACCAGGAGTCCAAAGCCTCAGCAACTTAGCAAGACCCTGGGTCAAAGAAGAGAAAGGGCTGGGGACGTGGCTCGGTGGAGGAGCACTCCTGGGCTCAGTCTCCAATACAAAAAAAAAAAAAATTCACCTTTGTCCTCTCTGAGGCAGGGGCAAGGGGCAGGGGAGGGCAGAGTGGACAAGGGTGTGGCATCGGGTGGAACCAGCATCCTCGTTTCCTGCCTTCCCCGAGCTCCCCGTCTCACCTGCAGACAGGCTACTCAGCTCACCTGCTGGGTGTCCCCACCTCAGGCCACAGTGTCCTCACCTCACTCCTGGGAGGACAAAAGGAGCCCAGGGGGAAAGCCCCTGCCAGGACCTCAGGTACACAGGAGGTGCTCAATGAATGCAGCTGTGCTCCTGCCCCTCTCCCTGCCCTCCCGAGGAGGTGGGTGTGCTTGCTTTGTCCCTGAGGCCCAGCCCTGTGGCCTTCCACTGAGTGAGCTCCTTCCTGGGGTGCAGAGTAGAGGCCACAGGGCGCAGTGCCTGGGCCCCGGCCAGCACTCGATGAGCAGAGGGATGGCCCGTCACCACTGTCGGCCCACGATGGCCACAGGCAGACTCCCTCGCTGAGGCTTCCCACGGGTGATGCTTCCAGTTTGTAGCCAAGGTCACAGACACCCTGGTTCAGCCTGGGGACTCGGGGTCAGGAGCCTCTGCTTGGGACCTGCGCCCACTGACATGCCTTCTCTGTCTGACCTGCACTTAAAGAAGGCCTCTGGAGGCGATGGCAGGGCTGCTGTCACCTCCAGATAGAGCAGTCTGCCGTCCCCACACATCTCCTTTCAACTTCCAGGGCCCCGACCCTCCTCCCGGCCTGGGCCACAGCCTGACACCGGGCGGGCGTGGCCGGCAGGATGCTGTGCCGCCAGGTGAGAGAGGCCTTCCCCGGTTCTCCACCCTGTGGGCATGGATTCCCGAGGAAGGCCGGGCTGCGGCGGGTGGGCTCCCTGGGAGCAGGGAGAAGCCTTTAGGAGCACGGAGCTCCCACCCCGGGGCGGCCCTCGGGAGGCAAGTGGCTGGGGGTTTTCTTACTGCCCTGGGGGTGAGCAGGACCTGGTGGACTGTGGACCGAGCGGCCRAGCCCGGGCAGCGGCCTGTGGCCAGGAGAAGGGGATGGAGAGAGGACGGGGAGCCCACGCACAGGGCTGGGCTGCGGGATGGATGTCCCTTCCTGCTCTGAGCAGACAGGGGGTGGCTTCAGAGAGCCCGCCAAGATGAGGCAGGGGCAAGGTCAGGAAGAGGCCTGGAGACCAGAGCCCGGTCGCTGGAGGGGGACCTCCGTGCCTTGAGAACCCCTCTCAGCCTCCCTCGTGGCGAGAGGAGGAGGGGAGGGGGATCCACCCCTCAGCCCTCAGTGGTCATGGGCAGCAGTGGCCGTGGCTCCTGGGCGGGCAGCAGCCAGCAGGGCCTAGCCAGGCGACCAGGCTCCCTCATTCGGCCCATCAACCCGAGCTTGGAAGACAATATAGACAGAGGCCAGCAGAGCCCTGGCCTGTGAGCTTTAGGGGTGGACAACATGTGCACTGCCCTAAAATGGAGAGGTTCGAGACTCGCCCTACAGCACCGGGAGGGGCCGAGAGCGTCCAGGTGGGCCAGGAGCCGGCGGGGGCCAGAGACCCCGGGTGCTACATGTCACTGATCCTGCACAACCTCCGGGCTTAGATGTGCCTGTAACCTGAGAAGGATTTAGCTGGGGCTTATGGCAGAAATACAAATGGCTGAGACAGACTCTGGGACGTTGGTGTCCAGTGTGAAAGGCTGCGAGCCCTCCACGTCCTGATGGAGAAGCAGCTGACAGCTGTGCATGCCGTTTGGTGGCCTGGGAGGCCATCATGGGTGCCACTGAAGTCTTGGTGCGCGGCCTGAATCCCATGGTGGGATGGGTGTACAGGTGGGCAATCACCCAAGGACTGTGTGGCTCAGAGTGAGTGTACTAGTGACAGCAGAGCCCACTGTCAGCTGGCCCACGGGCTGGACTTCAGAGGTGCTGTTGCCCATGTCAGTGAACCAGCAAGAGGCCCATACCTCAGAGGGGAGGCACCTCTACTGTCCGGCACTTGATACACTGATGGCCCCAGCGTGGACAGATGTCTGTGTGGACATGGTGGCTGTCGGGTTGGATTCTGGTGTAGGACAAAGTAGCCAGGGTCTGATTCTCCTGGGCTGTGCCTGAGGACACCCTGGCTGCGGGAGCGGGTGTTCTCTTCCGCCCAGCCCTGGGCTTTGCCACAGCTACGCAGCCTGAGCCCCGCAGTCCTTTAGCCCCATGGTAAGGCTCTGGATGGTGGCACTGGCTGCAGGGGTGACCCCACAGTTCCTGCACAGGTTGACTGCAACGGCCCGGTGGCCAGAATCTGGTGCAAGAAAAGACATCTTTCAGAACTGTGTCCCCCAAACTGGCCCCAGTGCCAAACCACCGGCCATGGGTCCCGCCCACTGCGCTGCCCACCAGGCGGTTGGAGCTGCATCTCCTGGTTTTCGGGGAGCAGCCGTGCCCTGCGCCAGTGCTGCCCCCCCCCCAGCTGAGCCCCTATCGAAACCTCGCTTGCGTGTTCCCCAAACATGGCTCTGTTTCATTCCCATGGTCACTGAGTCAGAGGTTCCTGTCTGGTACCAGAAGGGAAAGGGGAGGAAGTGACACCATCAAAAAAATTGGAATGGAGCCACCATCTGACCCAGCTATCCCACTCCTCGGCATATACCCAAAGGACTTAAAACCACCATGAAGAAGCCACATCAATGTTTACAGCAGCTCTATTCGCAATAGCTAAACCAACCTAGGTGCCCTTCAACATGAATGGAGAGAAAATGTAGTACATATACACAATGGAATATTGCTCAGCCTTAAAGAAAAATAAAATCATGGCATTTGCAGGTAAATGGACGGAACTAGAGAACATCATACTAAGTGAAATAAGCCAATCCCCCAAAACCAAAGACCAAATGCTTTCTCTGATAGGCAGATGCTGATCCATGGGGGGGAGGGGAACGAAGGAACTTTGGATTGTGCAGAGGGGAGTGGGGGGGGGGGCTGTGGGATGGGAAGGACGGCAGAATGAGACAGACCTTATTACTCTATAAATATATATGATTACACTCCTGGTGTGACTCTGCACCATGTTCAGCCAGAGGAAGGAGAAGCTGAGCTCCATTTGTGTAGAGTGTGTCAAAAGGCATTCTACTGGGGCTGGGGATGTGGCTCAAGCGGTAGCGCGCTCGCCTGGCATGCGTGCGGCCCGGGTTCGATCCTCAGCACCACATACCAACAAAGATGTTGTGTCCGCCGAGAACTAAAAAATAAATATTAAAAAATTCTCTCTCTCTCTCTCTCTCTCTCTCTCTCCCTCTAAAAAAAAAAAAAAGGCATTCTACTGTCATGTATAACTGATTAGAACAAATTAAAAAAACATATAAGGGAGGCCAGCAGAATAGGGGAGATGGGGGAGGGAGGGGAGGGAAAGGGGAGGTACTGGGGAATGAAATTAACCAAATTATGTGTTCTTGTGTGCCTGTAGGAATATATTATAACAAACCCCACTGTTGTGTGTCATTACAATGAGCCAATAAAAAAAGAAAACAAGGAGGGCATCAGGGCTGGGGCGCGGCTCAGTGGCGGAGCGGAGCCTGGCGCGTGGGAGGCCCTGGGCTCCATCCCCAGCACTGCCAAAAAATAAATTAAAATAAATAAAGTAAAACAAAAAAGGAGTTTATTTTAATTCGGCAACTTAGCGTTAGAAGTTACAAATGAACTTCAGGAGGATTCCAAGGTCACAAGGGTTTTAGATTAAATAACTCTGAAAACTTAAAGGTGGGGTCACTCACGGACAGGCAGCACCTAGTGGAGCCGTCCCTAGGCTGGGGGGTGGGCACCGGGAGGTGACCGTGGTGCGTGGACTCTGGAGCCTTTCTCACTGGGGGCCCACCTCCCCTCCTGGAGCCATCCCGTTCATCTCCTTCCTTCTCTTTGCTTCTATTTCTTAAAACACATCCCTCTCCATTTCGTCTTGGGGGTCGGTGATGGCTAATTTCAGGTGTCAGTTTGGCGAGGCTGCAGTTAAGATACTTGTCTAGCATTACTCGAGATGTGGCTGTGAAGGCATTTTGGGAATGAGATTTACAGTTAAATCAGTAGACTTTGGTGTGTGTGGTGCTGGGGTGGAACCCAGGGCCTTGCCCGTACTAGGCAAGTGCTCTACCACCAGGTGGGTGGGCCTTATACAATCAGTTGAAGGCCTTCACTGAAAAGGTATGAAGAGGGGATTCTGGCAGCAGATGGCATTCAGACCCACACTGTCCCGCTTCTCTCTCTCTCCAGCCTGCTGGCTCACCCTGMAGATGCTCCCTTCCTCCCCATTAAGGGTCAGGAGTCCTGTTCCATGAGTTCCCTGGATGACAAATTGTGCTGGGGACATTGGAGATGCACCTCTACCTTGAAACAAACCCGTGAGGTCTTCTCCTTGGCTGAGCAGTGGAGTGTGAGGCCTGGCCACGCCTCCCAACCGCGGGCTTGGACAGCAGCTTCAAGAGACTGCATCTCAGAGCTGCCTGGCCCCCGGAGCTCAGTCACCTCCTTCTTCCTCCATGGGGTTTCCGTGGGCCTGTGGTCACACCGGACACCCCATCCTGCCTGTGTCTCCAGCCTGGTGCCCCCTCCATCTAGGGGTGTAAGGTCTCCTTTTCCACAAGCTCCTACACATCTGCTCTGACCCAAGGTTGTGCCCCCCGGGCCACTAGGCTGTCCCTCTATCTGATTTCCTGTCTGCAGAATTCCTTTGTGCCTATCTCTATTTGGAGGTGAGGAAATCCTGGGCTATGTGGAGGGCGAGGTGAGGGGCTTCCCACACTCATGGCCAGAGAAGACTGAAGGGCCAGGGCTGGGGGACACCCTGGGACCCGCTCCATGGCTGGAGGGCCCTCACCTCTGTTTCTTTCTGGTGTCCATCTAAATAACACCAATTCAATGTTCAGATGAACCCAAGATCCAGTAAAGTGAAGGTGAAGAATTTTAAAGGTAAAACAAGGAGAATTATGATTGTTTTAAAGTAATCCTCAGCTACAAGAATCAATACCCACAGCACCCACCCGAGGCTGGACAGGCGGCTGTCCTCCAGGCGTCTTTGTGCGAGGTTGACTGGCAGAGTCCCGTAATGGCTTTGGGCACAGGCGTGTGTGGGTGACAGCTCCCCCCTTCCTTATGGCCTCGGACTCCCTTTTGTGAGGGTCTGACAACTTGGAGGATAGTCCTGAGACCTCTGCCGGCCCCAGAGCACGTGGGCAGTTATCCAGGGGCTGGCGGAGGGGAAAGCGCAGGCCTCAGGGACCTTAGGAGCTGTTCTGGGCTCAGGCCCACCAGCCCATCCTCTGCAGGGTTTCAGGGGGTATCCTCCTGGGAGGTAGAGGCTTATCCTTCCCGCTCCCTTGGAGCCTCCAAACCGCCCTTTCCACCCCTGCCCACTGCCTGCAGCCATACCCGGAACCATCTCTCTGCCTCCTGGAACATGCCTGTCCCCTGAATTCTATAGGACCAAGTGTTCCTGGGACATCAAAGCACACTACCACCCCAGCCCATGGCCACTCACCTCCAGGCCACCCTGGCCACACCTGCACTTTGTCATCACCCAGTGAGCCCTGGTATCCACTCTGGCCACAGCCCTATGGCTTCCTGGCTCCAGAAACCCACGGCATCTCTATTCTCCCACTTCCTCCTGTCCAGCACCTCGGCCCCGGCACCTTGAGCCCTGCCCTCTCTCCTGCTTCTTGTATGGCTCCCACCTCTAGGCACCCACCGGCAGGAATTCACCCTCTGTTTCTCCCACAGCTGCACCTGGGTGTCCCCTGGATAAAGTGTTGCTTTCTTAAAGCCAGAGGCCCCTGTAAATTCACATACCCATGTCCCCAGTCCCCAGACTTCCCAGTGACCCCTCTGTGGGGGGAGGTGTTTGTTAATCATCCATCCATCCCGCCCCACTTACCGGTCACTTAGTATGTGCTCAACACGGCGTGGGGGGGAGGAGGGGAGCAGTTGGTTTGGTGGGAACTTAAACCCCAGAAGCGCAGATACGTGGTCTTCAGGGTTGGCCGAGGCTGGGAAGGGCCCTTCTGGGAGGAGCAGGGAGGGAAGGCACCAGAAGGAGCCAGGAGGTCAAGGGAACTGGATATTTTAAAAGGTCTCCCAGGTGGCTCCAGCCAGGTGGACAGCAGGGCTGTGGAATGTCAGCGGCCGCAGGGTGGCAACTTCATGGGCTCCGGGGGCCCTGGACCCTCCGGCGCCTTGGACCCTCGGGGCGGTGGTGGGGCCACCCTAGGCCACCCCTAGAGCCTAGGGGAGCCACAGTCCCGCCCCCTGCGCCCTCCCCAAGCTCAGGATTCGCCGATGCCGGAGGGGAGCCCCGCGGGGGAGTCAAGGCTTCGCATTAGCTGGTCATTCACCGTATTCCCCGGGGATTGGCGCCAAGTGTCCCCGTTTTACAGGTGAGGAACACAGGGAAGGGGTGAACTCGTCCCCAAAGGCACGGAGCCAGACGTGGCTGAGCCGGGATTCGAACTCGTCCTCTTCTCCGGGAGGCGGAGTCCCTGGGGGCTCCCGGACCCGGGCACGCCCGCGGGGAGGAGCCGGCGCGCGGGGCGGGCCCCGGGAGGAACGGCCGGCGGCGGCGGAGGCGCGGGGCGCGCTGTCAGTCCGGGGTCTGGCCATGGAGGCGGAGCCGCCGCTCTACCCGGTGGCCGGGTCCGTGGGGCCGCAGGGCGACGAGGACCGACTCGGGGCAGCGGACGGGTGCGAGGCCCCGGTGAGCGGGGCCCGGGGGCGCGGGGCGGCGCGGGGCAGGGCCCCCTGCGGGGCGCGGGGCGCGGGGCGCGGGGMGCGGGGCGGCCGGGTGGCCAGCGGGTGCTAGCGGCGTGCTGGCCCGCAGCTGGACGAGCTGGTGGGCGCGTACCCCAACTACAACGAGGAGGAGGAGGAGCGCCGCTACTACCGCCGCAAGCGCCTGGGCGTGCTCAAGAACGTGCTGGCCGCCAGCGCTGGCGGCATGCTCACCTACGGCGTCTACCTGGGTACGCCCCGCGCCCCGGCCTGCGCCGCGCGACCCCTGGCCTCGCCCGGCCCGTTCAGGGAAAGAGAAACCTTGGGCCAGCCCTTCTCCTTCCCCTTTCACTTCCCGGTACATCGCCCTCTTAGCTGCAGCTGCAGCTGCCTCACTTGGGGCAAGGAGGGGCTTCCTGGCCGGCCCGTGTCCCCAGGTCCCAGCCAGAGCCGTGGGGATGGGTGGGGGTGGGTTCCCTGCCTCCTCCGCTCCCTGTAGGAATGGGAACCCCTCGGGTGACTGGAGCCCCGGCCAGGCTTGCCTCCCGCCTCTGCTAGGTTGCCCCGGGAGCCAGACCGCTCCCTCCACGCTGCCCCCTGTCCCCAGGCCTCCTGCAGATGCAGCTGATCCTGCACTACGACGAGACCTACCGCGAGGTGAAGTACGGCAACATGGGCCTTCCCGACATCGACAGCAAGATGCTGATGGGCATCAACGTGACACCCATCGCTGCCCTGCTCTACACACCGGTGCTCATCAGGTGAGGGCTGGCCTGTCACCCTGTCTCCAAGGGTGCAGAGATTGCCGGCCCATTGTTTTGCCTGGAGGAACAGGGAACTGGGGAGGAAGTGTGCCTCCCTAGGAGGGTGAGAGTGAAGAGGGGAAACCAAGGTGTAGGGGAGGAAAGGAGAATTTTGTCCCCGCTTCTAGGGCACATTTGGTTTCAGGCAAGAGATTCAAGCAGGCTTCTGCCCTCCTTTGGCCTGTGTCCCACATGGCATCCTCTCATGGGCTCTGTGGTGGCCCAGACCCATAGTGACCTTCTGAGTTGGGCTGTGGATTCTGGGAGGGGCTCCAGTCAGTGGGCAAAGCTCAGGCACCCACTCCTGGCCCTATCAGCTGTGACTGGTGTTGAGAGGACATTTGGCACAGAAAGGGGGAATGGCTGGGCAGGAGCTTCCCAGCCTCAGAGGCATGTGGCCCAGCCTCCTGGCCAGTGCAGAAATCCCACCCACAGCACCTCCCAGATGAGACCAGGAGGCCAGCGGGCAGAGTAGATGGGTTTTAGTTCCCTTGTTTTTTAAGTTTCCTTTTCACGGGCTGGGGATGTGGCTCTAGCAGTAGCGCGCTCACCTGGCATGCGTGCGGCCTGGGTTCAATCCTCAGCACCACATACCAACAAAGATGTTGTGTCCGCCGAGAACTAAAAAATAAATATTAAAAATTCTCTCTTTCTCTCTCCTCTCTCACTCTCTTAAAAAAAAAAGTTTCCTTTTCACAGTTGAACAGTGTCACTGTAACTGAAATCATAAACAAGGAAACTCCTCCTAAGCCCTCCAGTAAATGGCCCACGTCCTCTGTCCCACCAGCATGAGTGGATAAAGTCCACCTCGTTGTCACCAGAGCACGTGTGTGCAAGCCTTGCTCTTGTTCTTTTTTTCTTTCCACTTGACACATCTGAGCCTTGTCTGCAGCCTTCACAATGAGGACTTTTGCCAGGGCCGTGTCTTCTGCAGAGATGGGGACCAGCTGTGGCCCTCAGTTGGACATGGTTGCTTCCTCTGTGCTTGACACTCTTTCCTTCTTTTTCTTTCTTCTGTGGAGGCAGGACTCTCGCCATGTCGGCCAGGCTAATCTCACTCCTGAGCGCAAGGAACCCTCCCACTTCAGCCTCCTAAGCAGCTGGGACTGCCGGCCATGCACTGCCAGGCTGTCTGTCTGTCTGTACTCCTCCTCTTCTACTTCTTTTCTTTCTTTTTTTTTTTTTCTTTTTTTGGTACTGGTGATTGAACCCAAGGGTGCTCTACCACTGAGCTACACCTCCAACCCTTTTATTTTTTGAGACAGGGTCTCACTAAATTGCTCAAACTGGCCTTGAACTTGTGATCCATCTTCCTCAGCTTCCTGTGACAGGTGGCTTCACAGTGCCCGGCTGTTTCCTTCTTTTTAAAATTAATTATTTTCATTTTGTTTTCCCCTGGGATAAATTCCCAGCAGTGTCTTCACTAGGTCAAAGGCACATGAAATGCTTTCAGGTCTAGAAACCTATTACTTTAAATAATTACAGCTAGCCTTTATTTTGTTTCTTATGTGCTGGGCACTCTGTAGGAGCTAAATTCCCAACAGTCCAGGGTAGCTGCTCCCACCCACAAGGGAAACTTGTGGTGAGAAGACTTGACTCTGTCCCACTGGCAGTAACTGGCAGACCTCAGGTTTGACTGCTGGCCAAGTGGCTCTAAACCCAGGTGCTCACCGTTGGCCAGAACCACCAGGCTACCTTTCCAAAGGGTCATGCCGATGCTCATGACCACGGGCTGTTTCAATTTCTAAACCACATCCTCTCCTGCAGTGAATGAGTGCTGACATTTTACTTTTTGCTCCATCAAAGTGTGCTTTTTTGGTGAACTGCCCCTCCCTCAAATAGATCAAGAGGAGGCTGCCTGTCTGTTATATTGCAAACTAAAAATAACAAGTGGGGCCTGTAATCCCAGTGGCTAGAGAGGCTGAAGTGGAGGCAGGAGAATAAGTTTTAGGCCAGCCTCAGCAATTTAGCCAGACCTTATCTCAAAAAAAGAAAAAAGGAAAGAAAGAAAGGGCTGGAGATGTGGCTCAAAAGAATGGGCGGCAAAACCCCAGGGCTGTTTAGCTTCGGGCTTCCTGGAAGTCAGGACAAAGAAAGAACTGAGGAGCATAAGTAAAACCCAGAGATGCTGGGAGTGGGCCTTTAGGCTGATCAGCCTCCGTGCTCTGATTGGGTCCTTACCCCGTCACTGATCAAGTCCCTTCCATGGTCACTGTGTGGCTTCTCCCCAGACCCAGAGAAGGGGAAACTTCCCCACTGACCACAGTGGAACCCAAGAGCAGTGGGCAGGGAGGAAGGGGCCCCAAGGCTCCAACTCGGGCACTTGACAGCGTGAGGCCCGTCTTCTCTCTCATCCTAGCCTGGTTGAGCCCTTTGAATATGTCACTGGCTCTAGAGTCACCTCAGAAGCCTGGGAGGAGAAAGGGAGATGGGTGAGTCAGGCAGGACAGGAGGGAGTGCTAGCTGTACCCACGGCCACTGACTTCTATCCTTCTATCCTTGCCACGACCACGAGAGGCCTGTAGTTTGGGTCCTGCCCACATCACAGCTGTGGAAACCGAGGTGTGCAGGCACAGTGGCCTGTCTCAGTCCACTCGGCATCTATAACCTGAGACTCCATCTTCGGGCCCTCTCTGGCCATCTCTGGCCAGGGCTCTCTCCATCACACACAGCCTTGAAGCGGGGATACGGGGCCGTAGCCGTCTGGTCTCAGGCCAGGTTGTCCCTGCAGGTCCGGGAAACCAGCACCCCTCCCCTGTCTGCAGGTTTTTTGGCACCAAGTGGATGATGTTCCTGGCCGTGGGCATCTATGCGCTCTTTGTCTCCACCAATTACTGGGAGCGCTACTACACACTGGTGCCCTCAGCCGTGGCCCTGGGCATGGCCATCGTTCCTCTCTGGGCCTCCATGGGCAACTATATCACCAGGTGAGTCGGGGGCAGTGGGCTGGGAGGCTGGAGACCTGGTTGAGCCTTGACTGCTTTGCCACCCTCAGCTGGGGGATCTTGGGCAAGCCCCTTCCATGCTCTGGGCCTCAGCTGCTCAGCCCGTAGCTCAGGGTGCTAGAAGTGGGGTTGCCATAGAGACGGGGCTGAGGCGAGCCTTTACTTCTGTGGCCCAGGATGTCGCAGAAGTACTACGAGTACTCCCACTACAAGGAGCAGGATGAGCAGGGCCCTCAGCAGCGTCCACCGCGGGGCTCCCATGCACCCTACCTCCTGGTCTTCCAAGCCATCTTCTATAGCTTCTTCCATGTGAGCACCTCGCGCCGCACTGGGGGTGTGTGTGATGTCCCGGGCCCAGAACTCATACATGGGAGCCCACTGCACATCTTCTCAACCCTCTAATCCTTTCTGGAGCCAACCCCTGCTTGCCTACTTCTAGTGACGGAGACCTCGTCTCCTCCCAGTCTACACTGCTGGCCAGGAAGAAGTCCTCCTGTCTTGGGCACCCCCCCACCCTGCCACCAGGCTGACCCAGTAGGGGGAGGGCTCCAGTTCCCCAAGTCTGTGCCCAGACAGTGCCAGGGCTTTCGGCCTGGCTGGTGCCTGAGTCTGGCCCCAACGGCCCTCCTGTCCACAGTTGAGCTTTGCCTGTGCCCAGCTGCCCATGGTTTACTTCCTGAACTACTACCTGTATGACCTGAACCACACATTGTACAACGTGCAGAGCTGCGGTTAGTATTCATGGGGGTGGGGGGCTCCCCAGGGCCTGCTACTCCCCCACGCAGTCACCCAGCAGACACTGAGCCCTCACTCCCAGGGGTGGGGGCTGAAGCCTGGCATCCCTTGGCTTTGGTGGGAAAGGCCAGGACCCAGAAGGAGCATGTGGTTAAGCGGTGGGGGCGGGCAGAGAAGGCCGCCTGGATTGAGACTGCCCAGCTCTCCCTTGGGGCCAGCAGGCAGGCAGAGCTCAGTCAGTGCAGTGTGGATGTGTGGAGGTGGACTGCCCACCCTCCCAGGGGAGCGCTCCTTGCTGGCACCACCTTCGCCTGTCCCCTGGCTGCTGCACTTCTTCGTGGTAGGGTTGACAGCGGGTCCCACTCACTGTGTCCCCACCCACTCTTCCCAGGCACCAACAGCCACGGCATCCTTAATGGCTTCAACAAGACGGTTCTGCGGACATTACCGCGGAGCCGAAACCTCATCGTGGTGGAGAGCGTGCTCATGGCGGTGGCCTTCCTGGCCATGCTGCTGGTGCGGCCCGGGCTGCGGATGGGCCAGAGGCGTTGAGGCTAAGCTTGGGTCTTTGGGACCGAGTGGCACAGCCTGGAAAACAGTCTGGGCTTGCGTTCCGCTGCCTGGAGGTGTGGCCAGGGGAGGGCTGTGGCCTCCGAGGGGGCAGGCCTGGAGGCGCCGAGTTTGCGAGCCAGGGCTGAGTCCAGGAGGCGGGCCTACGCCTAGAGACCCGGGCTGGATTTGAAATCCCAGAGATTAGTGCTACCTGATGAGAGGGGTTTGGGGCCGGTCCCAGGATCATGGACTGGAGGGTGTGGCTCAAGTCTGAGGGCGATACTAGAAGGCAGAGCTAAAGTTCCGGGGGCGTGGACATGACGTGCCTAAGATCAGGACGGGGCTGGTTAACAAGGTCCAAGTCCACTGGAGGAGCATGGAGATGTGGCCGTTGCCTGAGGGGCGGGGATGGGGGCGTGGCCTGGAAAGCAAGGTTTGTGGGCGTATCCGGGGGCGGGGCCAAAGCCCACGAGTGTTGCTGGGGGCGGGGCCTTGGGCTGCGGTGAGGCTGAAGCCCAGGGGTGGAGCGAGGTGCCTGGCTGGTCACCTCTAAAGAGTTCCTGCCGGCAGGTGCTGGGGCTGTGCGGTGCAGCTTACCGGCCCACCGAGGAGATCGACCTGCGCAGCGTGGGCTGGGGCAACATCTTCCAGCTGCCCTTCAAGTACGTGCGTGACTTCCGCCTGCGCCACCTGGTGCCCTTCTTCATCTACAGTGGCTTTGAGGTGCTCTTTGCCTGCACGGGTCTCGCCCTGGTAAGTACAGCCTGCATAGGGTTGCCAACAAGAGGCAGGATATCCAGTTAAATTTAAATTCCAAATACACATATTCTAAAGTATATATGTATAGGTGAGCATGGTGGCACATGTCCGTAGTCCCAGGGACTCGGGAGGCTGAGGCACGAGGGTCCCAAGTTTGATGCCAGCCTGAGTTTATTCCCCAGAACTGAAAAAAAAAAAAGTACATATGTATAAATATATATAAGAACCTTCTCCCTCTTTCTCTTCCTTCCTTGTCCCTATTCTCCTTTTCCCTGGGCAAGTTACTTTAACCTCTCTGAAGCTGAACTGGGATGATTTCCATAAAGCATTTGGTTTTATGTAGGGTACAGCCCYTAGTGTCTGGGGACACAGTCCAAGTATTTTCAGTATTGACAGTTCTCCTGGAACCTTCCTAGCAGCCCTGGAGAAAATTAGTTCCCAGGAGGTCCAGAGAGGACAAAGTGTGGCCTAAAGTGACATTTGTATGGGGAGGGTCAGGGCCTGGGCTGTCAGACTTTCAATACTCTGCTTTTCCCTCAGGGCTATGGAGTGTGCTCCATTGGGCTGGAGCGGCTGGCCTACCTCCTTGTGGCCTACAGCCTGGGTGCCTCAGCTGCCTCGGTCCTGGGTCTGCTGGGGCTGTGGTTGCCACGCTCAGTGCCCCTGGTCACTGGGGCAGGGCTGCACCTGCTGCTCACTCTTGGCCTCTTTTTCTGGGCCCCTGCACCTCGAGCCCTGAAACACAGCTGGGTCCTCTATGTGGCAGCTGCCCTCTGGGGTGTGGGCAGTGCCTTCAACAAGACCGGACTCAGCAGTGAGTACAGCCATGGACACTGGGATGACTGCGGGGGAGGATCTGTGGCAAGCTGTGGGTGGTTGGGAGACATGGACACCCAGGGATGGACACRAACATACAGGCGATCTGCCAGGGAGTTTTATGAAGGAAAGGTAGGTGGGCAGTCCAGGGGTGGAAGGAAGTCCCACAGACCCACACTGGAGGCACAGACGAAGAAGAGCCAGACGCCCTGGGGGTATGGACATTCTGTTGATACTTCAGGGTGGGCACTGAGCCCTGCAGACACCAAGGGAGTGGGGTGAGATCTTGTGGAGACATGGGGTGGGTGTGCCCAGCGGGGACACCTCCTCCTCATCACAGGGGTGGGGCTGCCTTCATAGAGTTTCCATTCACCGGAGTAGATGATGGGGTCTGTGCTCGAGGGACGAGCCCGGTGGGACTAGTGGCAGGTAGCCCTGTCCATGCCCTAGGATGCAGGTGTAGACGTGGGTCCTTTCTTTCTTCCCCCTGGATGCTGGGGATTGAACTTAGGGCCTCRTGCGTGCTAGTCCAGTGTTCTACCACTGAGATATACATGTGGCCCCAGATCTGGGCCTTTTGTGGAGCAGAGACAGGAACAGGCATGAATCCTAACCTAATCGCCTGGCAGTCTCCAGGTCTGGGCTGCTAGGGATGAGTCACTGGGGAAAGGGGCCCTATTAGCAGAAGGCAGAGTGAGCCCAAGCTCAGCTGTGTGATGCCCTCTGTATGGAGGGGGTATTGCCAGTGGGAATTACTGGTACACATGGGTCTAGCCACGTGGGTAGTCCACATTGGCATCTGTTCTGGTGTGCCAGAGCCATTAACGGTTTTTAATGTCACCCATGAGCCCCAGGACAGGAGTGTTCATTCCCTGAGCCTGGCAGAGGTGTTAATAGCAAGTATCTCCCAGTACCTGGGAGGTGCCAGACTGGCCTTTTCTTTTTAGAACTTCTAACAGCATAGAATATGCATAAAYTCACTTGACCCAAATAACCCTCGGAGCCAACATTTATATCCACATTTCTGCACCTCTGAATCCCCACCTCCACCTTCCAGTCCTGAAGCTCAAGTCCGAGTCCCCTGACTCCCTGTCAGTACTCTTCCCCCACCTGGGAGGGTTCTTGGGAAACAAGTCCCCTGCTCCCACACTTCAGGGTCGATTTGTAGAAAGCGGGTTGCTGTGGATAGTTGGCCCTCCCTGGTCCCTGAGGAGAAAGAGCAACAGTCCCTTTGCTCTTGGCCCTGTGCACCTGAGATCTAGCCATGACTTCTGGGCACAGAGCTCTCCTCTGGAACTCCCCTGGGCAGCAGGGTAACCAGGGCCTCCTCTAGAGGGCAGGCCAGGACTGGCATAAGTGCTGCCCGGGTGCTCTGGGACTCATGGAAGGGACCAGTGCAGGGCCTAGGAGAGTCGCGGGGGAGGTCAGCAGCACCAGGGGACCCCTGCATCCTGCTTGTCCTTTCCGCCTGTTTGCAGCACTCCTGGGAATCCTGTACGAGGACAAGGAGAGGCAGGACTTCATCTTTACCATCTACCACTGGTGGCAGGCAGTGGCCATCTTTATGGTGTACCTGGGTGCCAGCCTGCCCATGAAGGTGAGGTTGAGTGGGGCTAGGGACTCCGTGCCCCACCCCCACTTCCCTGGGCCAAGCCCCAGGCCAAGGACCCCTTTCCTCAGCCCACTGGGTGGCCCCCAACCCAGTACCCCACTTATTGCCTCTCCTGTCAGCCTCAGTTTACCCATCTCTGGAGGGACCCAGAGTTTGTGCTTTCCTGCGGGTGTATCCCAGCTGTCTTCCTGTGGCCTGTTTGGTCACCCATTCAGACTGGGCTCCTGGGTTCCTGGAATCTGTCTTCCTCTGTGTCTCCCTCCGTGGCCTGCAAGGGCTCCTCTGCTTGTTTTCTTTCTGTGGTGTTGGGGATGGGACCCAGCGCCTGGAGCATGCTGGGCAAGTGCTGTCCCACTGAGCTGCACCCCCGCTCCTTACTCACGGCAGGTCAGTTTAGCAGGTCCTGACCAACATTTTAAAAAAATGAAGTAGAATAGAAACCAACCAACAAAACAAAACGGGGATGCAAATATGAGTCTGTGAGCCAAGTTAGGCTGCACASTCGTTCTCTGACTGTGGGTTACAGTTTTAAAAACCTGAAAGGCCTGACTGCGGCCTGCTGTGTGGAGGGGACAGACGGTCATCGAAGCCCTGGTCAAAGAGGGTCAGGCCTGGTTCAGACYTGACCCAGTCTTCATCTACCCGTGAGGCCCAGGGATTGTTGTTCTTAACCGGGAAACCGGGGCAGCGCCAGGGTCCTCCGGAGGGTGCCCTGGAGGTGGGGGGGCTGGGCGGGAGGCTCCTGGGGCCGTTGGGAGGCCGCCGGCCGGTGCGGCCGGGCTGGGAGCGGGGGAGGACGGTGCCCTCATGGCTCCCTTGCGCCCAGGCTAAGCTGGCGGTGCTGCTGGTGACTCTGGTGGCGGCGGCGGCCTCGTACCTGTGGATGGAGCGCAAGTTGCGGCGCGGGATGGCCCCGCGCCAGCCGCGCATCCCKCGGCCGCAGCACAAGGTGCGGGGCTACCGCTACCTGGAGGAGGACAACTCGGACGAGAGCGACGCGGAGGGGGCGCGCGGCGGGCGCGACTGCGCCGAGGAGGAGGCGGCAGGGCCGGGCCCGGAGCCAGCCGCCCTCTGCCGCCGGCCCTGCCCCTACGAGCAGGCGCTGGGGGGCGACGGCCCCGAGGAGCACTGAGGCCGGGGCGCCCTGCTCGCTGGCCGCACGGCCGCCCCGGGTGGCCGGTCCCGGGAGCCCTGCGCCCTCTGTGATCTGGGTCCCGAAGCCACCCCAGAGCCCAGGGCCACTGGAACCGCGGCGGTGCGGGGGGCCTAGGGTCCAAGCACAGCCGAAGCCCTGAGGGACACCACTGGACCCCGCCCCAGCCCGGGGCCGCTGCTGGACCGCTTGTGACTCTTGTGACTCCCGCTTTGCACTTCCTAGGAGAGCCTGACTTTTTATAGAAAATAAGCAATAAAGAGATTTTTGTACTGTCCTGACTGGGGCGTCTCGGCCGGGCGTGCAGGGGGATGAAGAGCGCCTGGGGTGTGTGCCTGGCTGATGTGGCCTCTGGGGCACTGTGGTGGCAGGCGGCCTGGCCCCAGCCCTGTTTGTCTATTGCAGCAGTGTTAAGCATCTGCAGGTGCCCACTGTGACAGAGAAGACCCAGACCCCTCTGTGAAGACCTCTGCAGGGCACCGTGGGGGCTTGTGGCTTCTCCCCTGGTGTTCTGCTGAGGCCACACCACTCCCRCTCAAGCCCCTGGGCCCCAGGCTGAAGGCCAGACCCTCGCTCCTGCCTCCCCTCCACGCTGTCTTCAGCATTGGGTCTCCTGCCCATGTTCTGTGGCCCCCCTCTCTCCTCTCTCTGCCCCCCACTGCCTTCTYGAGCCTCTAGTGGGCCCTGAAGCCAGGTGCTGTGGCCTTGCAAGGCGCCCCCCTCCCATCTGAACCACAGCTTCCCGGGTCCTCTAAGCTACAAGGGCWCGGCAGAGAGGAGACGTTGTCTACATGTTGGAGGGAAAGCAGCCTGCTTCRCTTGCAAATTTTCAGTGACAAGCAGACCCAGACACTGTCACACAGCAAGTCCTTCCAGGTCCCATCAGTACCTGCCGGGGAAGGGAGCATTCTGGAAGGTGGCAACCTCCTCCTGGTGGGATTCCAGCAGAGCTCCGGTTGGAGTTGGTGACCAGACACTGGGCTAATGGGCACTTGGATGCAGGGTGGGTGCCTTTTGGAAGGACGTGGGTCCTAGGTGTGCTGGGTGAACATGGGGAGGGGACATGTCTGGACAGTGGATCTACGATGTCACAGTTCWTCTCTAAGTTCATTATGCTGAAGGACCAAGTCTCCAATGTGGAGCAGACTGAGGTGACCCAGGTGTGTGGCGTAGTGTGGGGGTGCGGCTTCAGTCCTGCTCCTCTTACCGGGGTCATGGTCCCCACAGGACCCCACATCCACCTAGCTGCCCCTGGGACGTGGATGAGACTCATACCCACATATGACAGGTGATACCTAGGACAGGCACCACRTAACACAACAGGCGACCCGTGTGCACACACAGGGCAGGCCACAGGGATGGTGGCAGCAACATGCTGGCTCTTTTGGGCAGTGGTGACTGAGCCACCGAGGTCAGAATGCCTGCTCCCTGAGCAGCTCCAGGTCTCACAGTAAGTGATGACAGTGCCATTGGTGTCACCGCCCCTGTCTCAGTCACCCCTGGTTAAAGTGGCTGGTGGAGGCCTTGGAGACCTTGGATCCCTGGGTGGAAAGTCTGTGTTGAAGCCTCTGCCTYGGAGCACTATGGTTGCTCCAAAAACAACTCTGATGTCTTGTCTATTGGCATGATGTGATTTAAAAGGTATGATCCCTCAAACCTCCATCTAAGATTTCCACCATCTTTAAATTCTYATAGCAGGTGAGATAACCTGAAAAGGGCTCTTCTACAGAACACTTAAAAATGCTTGATGAGAAACAAGTTTCCTTTTATAGTTTTTTTTTTTTTTTTTTTACTTCCAGGGATTGAACTGCTGAGGCTGTCTTTGAACTCGAAATCCTCCTGTCTCAGCCTCCAGAGCCACTGGATAAGTTTCCTTTTAAATATAGAGTTGAGCATTCAAGAAAATAAGCCAGGGCTGGGGATGTGGCTCAGGCGGTAACGCACTCGCCTAGCATGCGTGGGGCGCTGGGTTCGATCCTCAGCACCACATAAAAATAAAATCAAGATGTTGTGTCCACGGAAAACTGAAAAATAAAATATTAAAAAAATTCTCTCTCTCTCTCTTTAAAAAGAAAAGAAAAGAAGCCAAGTCTCCTAGGGCCAAAAATGAAGAGGGAGCTGCAAAGCAGGGTGGAGGCAGGGAACTGAGGCAGCCCAGGGGCCTGGGTTGAGTTTCACGAGCCAGGTGGGGACACGGCTGAGGGTTGGGGGCTCTTACAGTGCAACGCTAAAAGCGAGGAAGACAACACTATTAGAACAAAGAACAGAAAAAAATGTCCACCCAGAGAAGCAGAAAGAGGCAAAAATTTTGAGCTTTAAGTCCAGAAGACGTTTCCCATGAAATTTTTATATGAGTTTGGAATTCCTACAAAGAAGTCACACCATTCACAAGGTCCAGGAAGCCTGCAGCTGCGAGGCTCACGTTGACTAGCCTTTGATCTTTGCCTAGGATAGGCCCTGGGGTACCTGGCCAAACCAATAGGGAAGCTCTCTAGGTACCCGCCCTGAGCCTGGCCACCATGGCTTCCCACACAAGTCCCTTCTGAAGCTGAGCTCACAACCCAAAACTACAGATCACACAAGGAAACGAGTCACTGTGAACAAGACAACAGACCCTGAAAGAGCAGGATTCGACACCCCCTCCAAACACAATAGGCTGTCGAATAGAGGGGTGGGGTCAGCAGCTSTTTTTAGGAGGAGCCCCAGTGACCTGACCCTGGATCCTTCACATCTTTGTGTAATCTCCATCTTTTCATTATGGGCTGGATCTAGTTAAATGTTTTTTTTTTTTCTTTTAAAATTAAAATTTATTTTTATTTTTATCTTTTGTATTTTTTCCTAGGTATTTTTCAGTGATTTTTTGTAGCAAACTGGATTCTGAGCTGGCCTCTAAGCTTCTCAGTCCCTTGGGCACCCACCACACTCATGTCCTTGCCGTAAGTGTGGTCAGGGCTGCGGAACGGAAAGGGATATCATYTCAGTGTCTGGGAGCTAATCGAGAGGGAGATTACCTGGGTGTACCTGATAGGCCTCACCTGCTGGTTGGAGGAAGGTGAGCAGCTGGTACCTTTAAGTAGACTCTAGGAGCTGAGAGTGGCCCCTGCTCTCGGCCAGCAAAAATATGGGGGCCTAGGAGCTCCAACCACAGGGGACTGAGTTCTGCCAACAATCAGAGGGGACATGGAAAAGGACCCTGAGCTCCGGATGAGACCACAGCCCAGCCCACACCTTGACTGTGACCTTATGAGTCCCCCTGAGCAGAGAGCCCCGCTACACTGTGCTCGATTCCTGACCCACATCAACTGGGTAATAATACGTGGGTGTTGTTTCTAGATTCTGAATTTAGTAACTTACACACAGCAACAGAAAACTAATGCAGTGGCCAAAGTAGTGAGATGTCACTTGAGAGAGAGACAAAGGACTGATCATTTGCTGCTTTCCACTCATTTGTTCTGAGGAAGCCAGCTGCTGCACTGTCAGCGGCCCCACGGAGAGGCCCGTATGGCAAGGAGCTGAGGGTGGTCTCGGGAACAGCCTGCAAGGACTGAGGCCCTGTGCCTTCCACCCAGCAACCGCTGAGCCTGGCCAGAGGCTAGGGGAGTAACTTGGAAGCAGATTCTTCCAGCAAGGCCCTAAGCTGCACCTGTATCGCGAGGCGGCCGGCACCTCTCCAGGGTAATTCTTCCTGCACAGGAGGGGATAAGCCACCTGAGAAAATTAAAGCCTGAAGTAATTAGTGAAGAAACAAGGGACAAAGTCAGAGTTAGTTTTAAGGGGGCGCCTGATAGACAGGAGCTGGAACAGAACAGTTAGAAAATGGCTCCGATTCTTTATTTAAGGGATAGCATCAAAGGCATGGATGAGGCTTCAGAGGTGGAGTCTTCTTTCAAGGTGTCTTGCAGTCAAYAAGGTTGACTGTCATTTTGGGAAGCCACACCCATCTCTGGGAATCTCTGTGGCTAGGTGGCTGCAGCAGGTCACCCCATTTCCGTGGTTGCACAACTCTGTGAAGATGCAGATGGTCCAAACTYAAGGTGGGGTTACATCCTGGTAAATCCATTGTAAATTGAAAATGCACCAAACACACCTAAATTACGGAATATGGCGACTTAGCACCCAGGACACTGTGGAGCATCAGCGGCTCAGCCCCATCGCGGGGGACTGGGAGCAGTGCTTACCGTCACTCCCCGGCATCACAAAGACCATGGCACTGTGTATTCCTAACCTGGGAAAAGAGCGAAAGTCAAAGTCTGAAGTGTTGTTTCTGCTGATCATGTTGCTTTGGTACTGTTGCAGGATTCTCGCACAGAGACACAGAGAYATGGGACACCAGGGCWTTCAGCAGGAAGCAGTGTTTATTTGTGTSGACAAAGGCTCAGGGGATTCCTATCCAAAGGCTGAGCATTTAGTGCAGGGAGCCATAGCCTTGTATTTTACACACTATTTCTTACATACTATTTCTTACATTCTCCTTCTCCCATTGTTGTGGGGACAAACGAGTCAAGGCACCCAAGACAGCAGGAAACAGTTTTATTTGGCTGTAGCCAGGTTCAGGGGGCACAGCTTTTGCTGTAATCAATCAATCCCCTGAACCCCGAGTTCAGGGACTTTCAGAGTTCTATACCCAGCGTGTAAGGGGAGGGGCTCAGAAGTTCAGAGTCTGCAGAAGTTCACATAAAAGCAGCTTTTTCTTTCACTGTTCTGGGCAAGTTAACCCTTCAAGGACAACACCTGAGAAGGGGAGAGCTTCTTCTCCCCTTTCTTTCCTCCCCCTGCCAGCTGTTACCATGGGCCCATTTGTAACTTATCTTAAAAATGTAGACATCTCTGTGAAGCCCAGCTCAAGGCCAGAGGCCTGGTTTGCCCATTTCTACAAAGTACTAKACTGGATACGTTTGTGAAAAACTAGTAAGGGGGTGTCCAGCACCTGGAGTGCTGGTATCTTCCTGGCCAGTGGCCAAGTAAACAGGGCAACACGAAAATAGGAAGTTTATCACATTGGACTCTTTCACAGAGACTCTTTTGCTGACAGTCCTAAAGTCAGCCATGGTGAAGAGGGCTTTTCTGGGGAGAAAGGGGRTGCCACTTCACCGTATGTGGTAATATCTGGTTAGACGTTCTATCTCTAGATCACAGAGGAGCGACAATGTTACAGCTGAGTTGGGAGGGCTCACCTTGGTACTAATGGTGTCCTGCTATCTTTTTCTGTGCTCTGAGAAAATCTCTGCCTACCATCCAACATTCATAAAGTCAA